GCCCTCTGCACTCCAGTCTGGGTGACAGAGTTGAGACTCCAACTCAAAAAAAAAAAAAAAAAAAGATGTTTTTTGAGGAGTAAAAATTGTTTCAGTTGAATGCCTTAAAACTGTCTAATACTCTGAATTTCTCATGTACCATTTAGATTGGCTATATTTTAAAAATAAAGCACATGGTTTTGGTTCTTGTTTAAAGCCCAACGCTAAATGAGTAAGGTTCATAGATGCTGTCAGGTGTGTGACTGAACAGTATCAACTTAGCAAACTAACCAGATTTTTAAAATTTCATTTACAGCCAGGCTCGGTGGCTCAGCCTGTAATCCCAGCACTTTGGGAGTCCGAGGCGAGTGGGCTGCCTGAGCCCGCGGGTTCGAGATCTGCCTGGGCAACTTGGCGAGACCTCGTCTCTACAATAAGTCAAAAATTAGCCGGGCGTGGTAGCGCGCGCCTGTAGTTCCAGCTACTTGGAAGGCTGAGGTGGAAGGATCGCCGGAACCCAGCAGGTCGAGGCTGCGGTGACTGGGAGTGGTCACTGCACTCCAGTCTGGGTGATAGAGTGAGACTCCAACTCAAAAAAAAAAAAAAAAAAGATTAAAAAATGTCATTTATTTCAACATGGGAGACAGCACTATAGCAAATTCCAAATCACCTCTATCATGGTGAAAATGGAGAATGAACCATATGCTATGAATAATAACAACGCTGAAACAATTGTCCCAAACCTAAAGTTCCAGTCCCTAGGCCAGGTACAGTGGCTCACACCTATAATCCCAGCAGAGGCAGGAGGATTGCTTGAGGATAGGAATTTGATACCAGCCTCAGCAACAAAGCAAGATGTGGTCTTTAAAAAAAAAAAAAGAAATTTATCTGGGCATGGTGGCAGGCACCTGTAGTGCCAACTACTCAGGAGGTTGCGGCAGGAGGATTGTTTGAAGACAGGAATTTGGTACCAGCCTCATCAATAAGATGAGACGCCATCTTTACCAAAAATACAAAAAAATTTATCTGGGCATGGTGGCATGCATCTGTCCCAGCTATTCAGGAGTCTGAGGCAGGAAGATTGCTTGAGCCCAGGAGTTAGGGGCTGAGGTGAGCTGGGATTGTGCCACTACACTCCACCCTGGGTGACAGACTGAAAACTTTTATCAGAAAATAAGATAAAGTTCCTGTCCCAGGTCTTCCAATATGCTTGTGGAATAGCAGAACATTTCTCTCTTCTTCCCAGAAGGCATAAAAAAGGAGGAAACTTTTTTTTTTTGAGTTGGAGTCTCACTCCATCGCCCAGGCTGGAGTGCAGTGGCATGCTCACGGCCACTGCAGCCTTGACCTGCTGGTCTCAGGTGATCCTTCTGCCTCAGCCTTCCAAGTAGCTGGAACTACAGGTACGTGCCAATACGCCTGGCTTATTTTTTGATTTATTATAGAGACAAGGTCTCACCAAGTTGCCCAGGCTGGTCTTAAACCCGTGGGCTCAGACAATCCTCTCACCTCAGCCTCCCAAAGTGTTGGGATTATAGGCGAGAGCCACCACGCGCCTGGCCCAAAGGAAGAAACCAACAGGCAGATAACATGAAGACCCAGGGAGAGAGCGGGACCTTTCAAGTGAAGGCACAGGTTACATTAGGATGCAGCGATCCTGGGAAGCTAGACACCAATGGATCCAATGAGCAACAGCCTTCATTTCTGGGGACAGTGGCAATTGCTGGTTTCTAAAACTCAGTGTGGGCCTCAGAAATTGTCTAAATATAATCCATCTCTTCCCTGCTCCCCTCCTCCATGCCTATGTCACCCTTTCTTAGTTCTCTGCAAGAATTACTAGTAATCAGAGCACAGAGAACTGAAACGGTAATTTAGGGTCTGATAACACTACATTCTTACACAACTTGATAGCAGGGTATGCAGACTGGAAGGAGGAGTATACAGAACTCATTGGGAAAATTGAGTGTTATTCTTTGTAGAAACTATAATAAAAAAGATAGCTTAACTTTTCTAATAACCTAAGATAATTCATAGCAATCAACTAAACTAGAAATTGTAATTTTTTTGGTTTTTGAAAACATGTGCATTGTTACAAGCAAAAATAACACAAAAATATTAATGTTAAATCAAGTCCACTTTAAGATCCCTGAGAAGACATAGAGAGACACACTCCATAGCACAATGTGAGAGCAGAAAATACATTCTTATACACGGATTATTTAGTGTAAAACCAAATTTCTATTTTTTTTTTTTTTTGAGTTAGAGTCTCACTCTGTCACCCAGACTGGAGTGCAGTGGCCGCTCCTGGCCACCGCAGCCTCGCCTGCTGGGCTCCGGCGATCCTTCCGCCTCAGCCTTCCGAGTAGCCGGAATTACAGGCATGCGTTACCATGCCCGACTGATTTTTTGATTTATTGTAGAGATGAGGTCTCGCTGCCCAGGCGGGTCTCGAACCCGCGGGCTCAGGCAATCCACTCACCTCAGCCTCCCAAAGACGCGGGATTATAGGCTGAGCCACTGAGCCCGGCTACCAAATTTCTATTTTAACAAATAAACAAGACAGTTATCTTTATGGCTATTGCTACAAATTTATTCATACCAGAAAAACTATCAGATTTAAAAGTCACAAAATAATTTTGGCACAGGTCAAATCTTTTCATTTTGTTAAGTCCCTGAGCTCTTTTAACAGGCTGATTTTTTGTGTTGGCTTCTTTCTTCCCCAGCTTCGCCAGGCCACCCTCTCCAGAACGCCTTGCTACCTGCCCTGGCCTCAGGCTACTTTAATTCCACAGTTTACACTATCACCTTTCCAGCCTGTGCTCTGGAGAAACCATGCAATCTCTCTGACATGAAGGCTCAAGAGCGCCCCCTCCATAGGGCCCCCCATGCAATTTTTCTGATGCTTATTGACAAGGAAGAGGAACCAGGTAGAGTACATTTTGTGCATTCTTCTATTATTCCTAAAGTTGCCCATAATGGTCAGTGTTTTAATGTCTCCAAGGCCTTATGTCTCAGATGCTCATCCAAACACTGGATGGCAAAGAGGTCAACGTCTACGTCAAACTTGTTGGCGAATAAATGGTGTTTGCGCAGCATCCAGTTCAAGTCGCCAGCTCCGAAAACGCACACGGAGCGCACGTGGACCCCGTCGCAGGGCGGGTAGGGTGCGCCCTTGGAAACATCCCCCTCAAAGTACTGCCACTTGACAAACCTAGCAACTGCGTGCATGTCAGACAAGTCGTACTTATGGCTTAAGGAGAGTGAGCCAGGGACTTCAGGGATCCTCTGGATGGTGGCCCAGAGATACTCATCTGGGCTGTAAGTGTCTTGCGCCCACTCCATAAACTTCTGGATTTTTCCATTCTCCAGCACATACCCCACGTACTCCCTACTGACCACAAAGTAGGCACTGCCTGAAAAAAGAGGCGTTTCCAAGGGAGGACGCATTTTGACAGTCCCCGTGTTTGTCAGCTTTCCATTAATCACCTCATACCGTTTTTTCCACCTTTCTTCTTTATTGGATGGCATCCTCTCGGTCTCGAGGTTGTTTTCGCCCATTAACGACTTGAGCCTCCTGACCATTTCTAGGTTGGTTTTGATGGGAAAATCCATCCCACAAAGATTTATCAAGTACCTCCAGTCTGCACTCATCGTGTAGAGGTCCTTCATGCAGTTGAGGTCGGCCTGAACCCGACTCCATGAGGCATAAACCACATTCTCCAACTGACTGGCCACGAAGACGTTGCTGAAGCAGGATGCGATGCCCATCACTGCAGCTAAAAAGGAATCCTCTGATTTTTTGTCCACGTGAATGCAGTAGAAATTCTGGGGCATATAGATGGCCCTCAGGAGCCTGTCGAGCATTTCAATTTTGTGATGAACCACTATAGAATATGCTATGGGAAACTCCGCCTCTTCTTTACTAAGGGGTTCGAGGATATACTTGCGCCTCTTGCTGAAAGAAGGACAATCACTTGTCATGTTGATATAGTCAGAAGGCGTCCACCGAGGGCGCTTTCGAAATTTCACCGTTAGCATCTCAAGCTTTACCTTCTGGATTTCGTCGGTATCACCCTGTAAAACTTTGGTGCAATTAATGTCACTGCTAGGATTCTCTCCCACCAGCTCTAAGTGTCTGATGGTTAAGAATTCAGGCTTGTGATGAATCTTTAGAACAGAAAAGGTGACGAGGGAAAAAACAAGAACAACGAAGTAGTATTTAGTGGGATAAGAAAAAAGTCTCTTCCGCAACAACTTTCTCAGCATTTCAAACACCAATCAGGGTCTTTGCTAAAGGCAGTCTTCTAGGTTTCAAGTGCTGCTGTGGCTGTGAGGGTTGTCAGTGTGCATTTATCAGAAGTGTAAATACACCTTAAAATGAAGAACAGCACTAAAAGAAAAACAGAGACAATATTATTTATATTCATAGAGTCTTTCACAATATCTTCTCAGGTCAAAAACAATTTTCTTTGCTATAAGGCTAGATGTTTAAAACAAAAACAAAGTGGGTCAATCAGAGGAAAAGGGGTCATATAGGAAACCCACAGTCTCTAGTATGGATGCCACAAATTGAAGAGAAACAAAAACCAAAAAACCCAAAAAGCTTAGTACAAAGATGCACTAGAATAAGAAACATTTTACCTCTCGGGTATATTGAGGTGGAAAAACATGATTGAATACCTAGGTAATAAATACTGAACCAGCCATAGTTGGTGAGTGTTTGATACAGGGCCAGTTCTAAGAATTAGCATCCCTTGTTTTGAAATCATGACTAATGATAAGTTCCTCCTGACATTTTTTGTTTGTTTGTTTTGAGTTGGAGTCTCACTGTTGTCCAGGCTGGAGTGCAGTGACACACTCACAGTCACCGCAGCCTACTGGGCTCAGGTGATCCTTCCACTTCAACCTTCCAAGTAGCTGGAACTATAGGCACGTGCCACAACACCTGGCTAATTTTTTGATTTATTGTAGAGACAAGGTCTTGCCAAGTTGCCTGGGCTGGTCTTGAACCCCTGGGCTCAGACAATCCTCTCACCTCGGCCTCCCAACGTTCTGGGATTATAGACATGAGCCACTGTGCCTAGCCTTCCTCCTGACTTTTTTTTTTTTTTTTTTGAGTTGGAGTCTCATTCTTGTCGCCCAGGCTGGAGTGCAGTGGCATGCTCACGGCCACTTCAGCCTCGACCTGCTAGGCTTAGGTGATCCTTCCACCTCAGCTTTTAAGTAGCTGGAACTACAGACGCAAACCACCATGCCCGGCTAGTTTTTGTGACTTACTATAGAGACGAGGTCTCACCAAGTTGCCCAGGCTGGTCTCGATGAACCCCTGGGCTCAGGCAATCCTCTCACCTCAGCCTCCCAAAACGCAGGGATTATAGGCTGAGTCACCACAGCCCAGCCCCCCCTGACATTTTTTAACATCCATCAGCTGATGTCAGTAGCCCCGAAAATTTAAAGAGATCAGATCTGTTATATTTTTTGCTGATTCAGGATCTGGGGCACACTTAGTGAGAAATTCAGAAAAGGTTGTGACTTCTAAAAATCTTCGAAGGAGCCGGGCTCGGTGGCTCAGCCTGTAATCCCACGCCTTTGGGAGGCTGAGGTGA